GTTGCCACTCAGGGGAGTGGTCTGCCTGAGCAAGATGGCTGCTGTTGCATGGGGAATGAGTCAGCATCGGGATCCCACTGGCTACTCTCTCAGTTCTTCCCCCAAAGCCTTCTTCCCCAGTCTCTCCTCTGGCATCTCCAGACCATTCTGCCCCCACCCTTGCCAGAGACCAGGGTAAGTAGGGTAAGGAGCTGCAAATAAAAATTTATGCATTGGCCCTTTAAATGGCTCTTTGCTTCTCCAGCTTCCTGTCATTGGCAGAGAACAACCCTGCCGCTTTTCGCATCTGGCTGTTATCTGTGTACTTTTTGGGCTGTGGTGCTGTAGGCTGGGGATCCCTGCTTATGGTTTGGACCCAGCTCTTCTCAGGGGGATTCCACTGGCTCTTTCAATACCCATGTGGTGCTGCCATCTGTGGGCACCCCACCCACCTTCTCAAGTCTCTACCGTGCTCCTTACCAGTTAGGTTGTGCTAAAGCTGATTCTTCTGTCAGTCCAAGGTTATAAGGCTTCTCTCTTGCTATTGTTCAGTTGTTTGTTCCAGGTGATTTCTCCACAATTTAGCTGTAATTCCAGGTTGGTCCTGGCAGGAGGTCAGTGTGAATTCTTCAGTCCTCCACCATCTTGATTCTCTGATATTTTCTAATTATATCCTATTATTTTTCTTAAAAAAAAAAAAGATGATCACAGCCCAGGAATGACTTACAACTGCAGTTTGAAAAACACCGCCGCAGAGCAGCATATGTGCATTAGTACTGTGTTAGTGCCCTTACAGCTTTTGAATTTCAAGGTTATATTTTTATTTTATGTTGCTTGTTAAAGTTCTAAGATGGTACATTTGTCAATCCTTCCATCCCTCTACTTGCACGTTTCCTCAGAGTTCTGCATTAGAAACAGGCAGTCACTTCCTTGAAGGGGGCACATTGGGGATACAAGTCTTTCCTAAATCATCCACTGATTTATTGTGGACTTGTTGGTTTTTCACTGTCTTCCACCGCAAAAAATTCCTTTTCTCTCTTCTAGTTTCTTTCTCTTATCTCTGGCTAATTCTTCATGTTTTCAATTTTATTCAGTCAACTAAGTTTTATTAATTTAGAAATACCAGATGATCAAGAAAAAACTCTCCACCTATGAATAATTAATGGCTCAGGAGAGGAAGCAAACAGGTGAAAGGGAGAGAGATGGTAAAGAGAGGAACACAGGAAGTGCTCAGGCTGAAGAGGAGGATGAGTCTCATCGACAAGGAGTGGAGAGGGTTTCTCGGAAGCGATATGTTTGGGAAAGCACCTAACTTTGGCTGGGGTGAGAGATGGCATTCCTGGAGGAGGGACCAGCATGCACCAAGGCACGGAGGTGGGGAGAACAGGTGGTTACCTTTGTCTGGAGTTGTAGCAGAGCAAAAGGGAATGAGGCTCAGCTGAAGAGCCAGGGGCGCACATCTGTAGACTGTGAAGAACCACCCCGGGGACTCTGAGCTCTCACTGCTTTCTGAGAGGAAGCAAGAAGGGGCTTCAGATTTCAGGGTCTCAATCTTCTTTCTACTAGACTGTAGCCTACCTAAAGTCTGGAAGGTCTTACTATCTAAATCCCAAGTGCCTGGGGGAGGACCCGGCATGGATTCAGACATTCAGAGGAATTTCAGACAATGAGTTCACGTTCATGGCCCAGCACTCTGGCAGGTATCTGAAACACATTCCAGGCTGTGTTCTGATCCTCAAGAGGAATGAAATGGAATTGCAGCACTTTGGGAATAACCTGTGAAAATAAACATTCTCTTTCCCTAAGACCTCTTTTCAAAACTACTCCACTGGTAAGATGTTGCAAATGAATTAATAACTTAAAATTGTTCTTATCCCACCCCCAGATCCTGAAGATAAGAAAATTAGAGACATAAATTTTAAAAAGTAGTATTAAAATAATTGACCTGTGATATCCTGGTTTTATAGTTCTCACTAGCTAGCAATGCTCATTAACAACTTTAAGTTTATGATTATTTTTAATATTGATTATTTACTATATTTAATATATGATTATTTTCATATTATTTAATATGATTATTAAAAATATTATAATATTTTTATATTTAATATTACTATTTTCTAAGTGTGAAAAATCATCAAAAAGTATTAAATGTTACAGTTTGGAGGTCCCTTTGAGCCTAATTTGGTTCATCCCTCTCATTTTACAGTTGAGGAAAGTGGGGCCTAGATAACTTTAATAGAACTGCTGCAAATAATTTTATATCAGAGAATTAAAACCAACCAAAAAGCTGTGACTCAGCAAATCACTTGTTAGTATATGTTCTTTTAGTCTCTTAAACATATGTACATGTGTTCCCATAATAAAATTTGTTTCATACTGTTTACATTTTTGTGTCATGCCTTTTTCACTAAATGTATTTTGAGGTTTTCCCCTAAATCTTGAATTGTATTCACTGACATTCAATTTGTCACGGACATATTCACATAGTGACTATACAATATCTTATGTATTCTATACCATAATTTACTTGACCTATTCCCTGTTATTGGGCATTTAGTTTGTTTTGTGTTACTGTTATTAGAAATAAACCCTATGTACCTTAATCGTGGCTTCTCTCTGATTATTTTTTTCTTTTCTCCCTTTTTATCAAATTTATTGCACTGACACTGGTTAACAAAATTATACAGGTTTCAGGTGCACAATTCCACAACACATCAACTGTACACGGTATTGTGAGTTCACCGCCCCAAGTCAAATAATGACCAAAAACTTTTCTGATTATTTCTTAAGGGGAGAAATATCAGTTTGGTCAAAATGGAGGAACACATTGAAGGATTCTGATACATACTACCAAGTTGATCAGTCCAGGAAAGTTACACATATTTGCCCTAAGTAATGAGTTTCGGTCTCTTTTTTTTTTTAAACCTTAGCAACTTTGAAACAGTTAATCTAGATAATATGGAGTTCAAATTTGCCCTAATTTTACTTACTTAAAAATACTAATAATTATGATGCAACTATTAGTTTGAGAAGATAAAATGTCTTATTCCCAAACTGTAAATGAATCTGTAAAGGGCGGAGGGAGAAACATATGACTAAAATGGCCAAGGACGTATGGGAAATGCCCAGAAGTTTTCCTGTAGGGGTCACTGTTACTGTCAACTTATGCCTGCAAAGAAACGAAAATAAAGCCATGCATTCAAGAATCTACGCTCATCAATTTTTTTAATGCCTGTTTTGTCTACATTGTCTAAATTGCAAAATAAATAAGACCTTCAGCCAAATAGCGTCATAATGCCAAGTTCTTTACATAATGACACATACCGCTCTTTCCACTCAATATGCTCTTCCGTTTGAACTGATTAAACGTGTGCTATTCATGAAAGGCACTGCTGCTTGCTCTTAATAGAGGACGCATTTAGCTAACTACCTAACGCCAATAAAGTGGTTTAAATGGCATATATGCTGACATGAAAAAGAGAAGGAAAAACACATTCACTGCTGTGGACGACAGGATTCCTTCTCGCCACCTTCCTTTTTCTGTTTTTTCTTGTGAACCTCTTTGCGCTCTGCCTCAAACTCCACACAGAAGACAAAATCAGACGTAATCTGCACTCTATAGTGCTATTTGCGTACAAAGAGGTGCTTTTCAATCTAAGTTTTTATCAAAGCAGCTTATACACGCTCCCGATGTTCCAGGGGCCGGGCCAACGTGGCTGTGCGGACACACCTTTGCTAGGCGGCTGTTAGGCTTCAGGGCTGGGGCAGGGAACAGGACAGGTGTTACTGGAAATATATCAGCTCTCTTTACAAAGCAGGAGTCCTTCCCATCATAAAATGCAAAGTAGCCAGCCGTTTTCCATGCTCCACATCCCCAGCCCTCCTCGTCCGGTGGTGTAGGAAGGGGCTGGGAGGATATTTACTCTCCGCTTTTGGATTTCTCTTATTTAACTGAACCCAAGGGCAGCTGCTTCTCTAAGCGCAGCGCCGGCGGGCTCAGGACTGCCCGCACCTGCCGGGCAGGCGGCCGAGCTGCCCCAGGGCTTTGACCAAGTCCGAGCTGGGCTGGGGCATCCGGGAAGCGGAAGGATCCCGGTTAGGAGGCCAGGGTGTGTACGTAGAGAGCTCAGCCTCGTCCCTGGCACGCTGTGCCCCGCGGCGGAGGATTGGCTTCCCTCCACTCCTCTTGCAGCTGGAAGGAGTTGAGGCTGGGAGTTGGTGAAACTCTCTCACCTGTCAGAACCCGGATCTGGGCAGAGAGCAGGGTCTGGAGGCCAGAGCGCGGGCCACAGCAACGTCGGCAGGAGGCCCTCCCCACGGCGGGGCGCCACAGCCAGGGAGGCAGGTGTGGGGCTGCTCCCAAAGACTCCAGCCGCCCCGCCTCGGGTCCGCACTCCAGCTCCTTGCTCGCCCCTTTCGCTCACAGGCGCCATCCGCTTGGTGTGCCCCAAGGCCAACTCCGGCAGACGCCAGGGTTGCAGGTTCGAGACGCTCCGCCTCCTTCTGGCACTTAGAGGCGTAAGCGCCAACGGGAACCTTCTCTGTCGGTCTTAGTCTGCGGTCATTGCTGAGGTTTTCGGAAACTTGGCTTCTAACCGACGCCGTGCCTGCAGCCTGGCTGGGATACCCCCAGGCCCGGGAGATTCCGCTCTCCCTCCCGCACCGAAGCCCCAACTTTTACGTGCGATCTGCGCCGCTTGATTGGGTGTCGAGCCCCGGTGCCAGCAACGTTCCCAACTGGGCTCAGCTCGCCCTCTTCTCCCCCGAGCGGGCTGCGTGAGCCCGGATCCCGGGTGCACTTGATCGGTCCCAACGCTTGGGACTCACCCCTGCCTCGGAGCCCACCCGGGAGGAGGGACTGAATTCGGCAGGTCCACGCCTCTTGCTCCGAAACTCAAGTCGGCCCCCGCCTTTTCTCTCCGAACCCGGGTGCCCGTCGCGGGTCGGCCCAGCGACCGGCCCGGCGGAGGATCGGGGCGCTCCGGGCCACCATCTCCCCGTCGGTTGCAGCGAGCACCATGGCGGGCTGCTGCTGCCTGTCAGCGGAGGAGAAGGAGTCGCAGCGCATCAGCGCGGAGATCGAGCGGCAGCTTCGCCGGGACAAGAAGGACGCGCGCCGGGAGCTCAAGCTGCTGCTGCTGGGTGAGTGACGCCTTCCCTCCCGGCCATTCCCTCGCGCGGTCCCCGCCTCCAATCCCGGGGGCATACAGATGCCTTAGACGCCTGTCCTTTGAACCTCCAACTGGGCGACTTTCGACTACCCCAAAACAGGGTTGAGAAGGAACACTTGACCTATGTGTGCCCTCCCCTGTCGGTTCTGGTTTGCCTCTGTCCCTAGAGCCTCGACCTCCCCACCTTGCCGCCTCCAGCGCACACAGATTCTGTAGAAACCGATCTTGGATGTTCGGGTCCGTGGTGGGGAACTGCCTGATTCATAGCTTGGGTTCAGCTCTCAGTTCTAATAAATAAGTACTGTTGACTAAGCACTTACCAACTGCAAGACTGTGCTAAATTCTTATGGGTATCACCGCCAAGTGATGGGGGCAGGTAATATCTCCATTTTAGAGAATTAAAAATGGAGGCCCAGAAAATTAGCGAATTTGCCTTGACCAAAATAAGGCAAAGCAGATACCAGGTCAACCGTGCGGGTGAAGCCCAGGTCCTGGCCGCCCCCGGCACTGTGACCCACCCCACTGGCCACCCGCGGCGCTCCCTGGGAGGCTTTTCTGTTTGCAGCAGACCCTAAACGTCCTTGCCCAGTTGACCCAGCGGGCGGAGGTTCCTCGGATTCTGGCTTTGCCGCCCTAGGTGCTTTGGCTACTTCTCCATCTGGCTCTTTTGGTCTCCCTGCTCTATGTAGGACACCCATTTTCAACAACAGAAAGAACTTTTAAGGTTTGCCCAGTTTATGCCCTAGGACAGGGAACCCCGTTCAGTCCATTTGCTGTTTGAGGAGTAAGCAGCTGCAAGTATTTCCATTTTTCTTACATCCCTTCCAGACAGGAATCCTCTCTTATTCCAGTTTGTCTTTGATATGAGGAGTCTTCCTCCCAGAAAGAAAAGTCGATGTAGTTAGAATAAAACAGAGAAGGGTTTTAGACTGTTTTGCCTTGGAACTCGGTAAGGAAGCTTCTTACACTTACTTCCAGGGTTTGGAGGGCAGGGTCTAACCTTCCCCACTGCTGTGCCTCCCCTCCCCGACCGAGCTAAGCCTCTGCAGGTGAAGTGGGCTGCCCACCCAGAGTCCCCGCTGGCCTTCAAGCCCCAGACACCCATGGACTTCCCTGTCCAAGTCCTCAAGCTGGCTTTCAGGGACTTGGCAAGCAGAGAAGGCAGACTCCATCCCTGAGGAACGCCCAAAGGGGCAGGTGTGCCAGGTTGTGGACTATCTTGCAGACGTAGGCTGAGGGTCCACAGGAGCCCATGAGGACTTCCTGGGGGAAGCAGGAGGCTGGGCAGGGAAGGCAGGGGATTCGTGAATTAGCCAGAGTTGCTCTTTCCGGTCTGGCCTAGAACTCTGAGGGGCCTGAGAATTCTAAATTATACCTGGACTCCAGGTGGTCGAAAAGCTACATTTGTCAAGGGAGGAGGATTGTGTGACAGTTTGCTAGCTTGATTAGCTCTTTACAGTAGTAATTATGTGGGCCTCCATGTGCGCTGTCGCTCAGGGCCCCGCAGATGATGGGGCGGCCTGGCTTTAGCTGCATACTTTGTCTTGTCAAGGACAGGCCGAACCCTCTTTCATTCTGAAGTATTTTTTTATTTGTGTCTGTGTATGAAGTACAGTGTCTGGAATATACCAGGAACTTGGCAGACGCTGGCTCTTTGTATGAAAAATGAAGCACTAAGCTGAGCTATACTGTATTGGTAATAAGCCTATTTGTTTGAAGTAAAATGCTTGCATTTACACTCAAACTAGGGGAGGAATGTTTGCAGATAAATTGTTTGCCCTGGAAGTTGAATTTAATCTTGGTGACTAGAATCATTCTTCATCTCCCCACCCTCTTCTCATCCCCTTGAGACAGGGCTGCGCGACATCCCAGGACCCCTATTTTCCTCAGGCCCCACTGTGACTGGCTCCTTGTGTTGGTGCTACTCACTCAGGAATTGCTAGAAATTGTTTCCAAGCCACGTGGCGTTGTCCAGAATCCCCAAAGGATGGACTTCAAAACCTCTGATTTTCAGTCTTTCAGTCTTTAAGGGAGTAGGGCACACTTCCATTTTTTTCTCAAAATAGAGGAGGAGTCAACGACTCAGAAAATACAGGAATCAGGGAGAGGTCTGTACTATTTTGTTTGAGGTCGGGCAGTTTGAGTGCAAAGTTCATTCACCTGAGTCTCTGCAGGGGGTGGAGACGATCCATTGCTCAGATGCCTCAGGTGAAAGCTCCGCTTGGCAAATGGGAGTTTAGGATCCTGTGTGGAGCATGGACTGGCCTGAAAAGCCACCCACTCTTTCACAAGGAAGCATGCTTTTGCAGCTACGTGATCTGAGGATGTTTTTGAAGTGCATCGATGGTTTAGTTCATATCCTGTTTGTGCATCATAAACGTATGGCTCAGTGTCCGTAGGAAAAATAAAGCTGTTGTTGGGTTAGGGCTAGTAATTGGAAGATGTCAGTGTGATGGTCTCAGATAAAGGAGGTCAAAAATAAAGAGGCTCAACTTTAGTACAAAGAAAATCCTTATCAGTTCCTCAGATAAAAGGACATAAAGAAATTCCGATAAGAACCCTCATTAAGTACTCTTCAGTGTGAGAAGAAAGTATCTGGACAGTCGAAATTAAATGGGAAGAAATGTAATCTTTTGTTGATTTTTAGTATTAAATAAGGCTTGGAAAGTGGTGTTAATCAGGTCGAGTCTTAATTTTGGATGCAAACCTCATGTTGAAACTGTCTGGAAAGAATGTTTACTGGAGATTTGGAATTGAATTTACGTGGGTATAGGAGTTAAAAATATAGGTTCTTAAGCCAGACTGCTTGGGTTTAAACCCTGGCTCACCCCTTTCTTAGCTGTGCACTAACTTCTCTCCACTTTGTTTGGCAATGAGTACTTGGTGTCAGCTATCATGGCTCCGTTTTAGAGCCTTTTAGAGCATTTAGAGCATTTAGAGCATTAGGGCACTGGGATGGTCGCTTTTCATTTTAGCCAATCAGTTGTAGGTAGCATGGCAGTTTGTGTAAATAGTCCTGATAGTACTTTGACAGAAATGTTTTGCTTTTAGTATCCCTTACTGTTTGGGTTTGTTGTTTGTTTGTTTGGGTGTTTTGGGTTTTTTTTTTTTTTTTTTGCACTGTAAGCTCATTTTATACTGTCTCTTCCTCCTTGCACCAAAGAGTAGAAAATCTGAGTCCCAGAAAGTTTTACTACATTGGTTATAACAGAATTCCATTTTAAAGCTGTCACTTTTCTGGGCTGGAAGTCTATTAGAGGAAATGGTTATAGATAGAATGGGTTTCTCAGTAGAAGGTGACAGAACTTTCTGGCTCTGTGAAGAACAAAAGGAATGAAAGGATATGTGTGCCTATGCTCCCTTTTGCTTAGTTTAATGCAAAAGGCTTTCCCAAAGTGCTAGGCATGGGGCTCAGTGATGAGGATCATTTCTGAGTTGACTTGGAGTTGCTCTTTCACAGGTAACTGTTCTGAGAAAAATGGTCGTAAACAGAAACTACAAGGTATGAAAGGGGGAGGGAGGGATCCTCTGAGTCTGGCCTTGAAAGACGGGGAGGGAAGGATGCTGATGTCATCCTCCACGTTGCTGGGGGGCTTGTGCAGGACACCTGCAGCAGTGCCCGCCTGCCTACCAAGAGAAAGCTCTGAGGACAGTAAATGATGTTCTCAGAATACTATGGAGGACCCCTTGAGGGCAGACCTCAGTGAGTGTTGGTGTTTTAACCATTTATGTGAATATTATGTTCACTATAAAGTAAATGTTAACGCAAAGATGCTTACTTGTTTGTGTCTTAGTAGGGCTTCAGAGAGAGAGACCGTGAGGGTTTGTCTGTGGCTTATGTCCGCTCTGGCTGGAATCGACCAACCTCCCCAGGTAGCCCGCTTCCACCCGTGACACAGCGGTCTCGAGGGCCACTCATGAGACAAAGGGGAGTCCTCCTTCTCTTCTTTCTGCCTTTAAATGAATAAAGGACCTTACAGATAATGGATTTTTACCTTTTCAAATAAGGCACATTGAGGTATGATTTACATACAATTCAAGTCGCCAGTTTTGCATGCACAATTCGATGCGCCTTGGCAGATGTGAACGGCCGTGTAAGCCTTGGCGCAGTCACGACATAAAAAACCGCTTCGATCACCCCCTGAGTGCCCCTCTGCCCTTCTGTGGTCAGTCTCTCCCCCTGAAATCATTAAAACATTTTTTTAAAATTTGGAAACCATTTGTAAGGATAAGAATAGTACCAAAACCTGTAGGTATGCCTTTTTCCCAATTGACCTATTACTGAAATTTTGCCCCATCTTCTTTCTCATTTTTGTGCTCTCTTTAGTGTTTCTGAAATGTTTGACAGTAAGTTATATATGTACCAGTTCTCATATATATGTATATATTTTAGTTGCTTCTAATCTGGAACATTTTCACAGGCTGTCGTCGCTTTTGGGACTTTACATTTTTTAAGAATATACTCTCCTTTTCTTTTTCTTCTTCTTCTTCTTCTTCTCCTCCTCCTCCTCCTCCTCATTCTTCTTTAAGTTAAACCCGCTATCTTTTTAGTAGAACATTTCTCATTTGGGGTTTGTCGAGTGATTTTATTACAATTAGAGATTCCAACTATGTTCTTGGCTGGAGTGTGCGATGTGTGTCCTTTCCAGGGGCCACCTCTAGGGGCGCCCCATGTCTATCTGTCCCTTAATGGTGATGCTAAGTTTGATGGCCCGCTTGTTTTTTCTACTGTATCGCGGGGAGATACTTTCTAAAACCATGCAAATATTCTGTTCCTCATCAAAATATCCCTCTAGATTTTGCATCGATATCTATAATTCCTGATCCAGTTTATAACTTGATGGCTGCAAAACGATGATTTCCCTACTGCAGCACTATCCCCGCATTTACCAGTTGGCACTGGGCACTCTACTGTAACGATACCCCCCCGCCTTTGCTCCTATTTATTTATTTACTACCCACACAAACTCA